ATGTTGCCATGTCCGAGAGTGTCCTGAGAGGCTGAAGCTACAAACAAGCACGTTTGAGTCGAAAACAGGTGGAGAATGAGAAGAGGGAGGAGGGAGGACTCGCCCATGCCAGTCAAGCGCCAATGTCAAGGCCAAACGACGCGTGGTGGTTGATATTACCCCAAATTCACTAACAGTTGACGGGAAGGGTATCCGTAGGTACCTTGGGTCGGTTCTTTGGGGCGGGAAAGAGGTGTCAGGTCGATCCCAGCGGCGTGGACCCTTGAACGGTGCGTGGGTGCGTGTCCCCCGGTACCTGCATTTCCATGTCTCGTTAGCGCTATGCCAGATGCGATCGACCGGGTGGCTAGGCGGACCCTTGCCAACCTGGAAAAGTTGCAACGCGCCTCTGGGGACTACTCTTCTTCTGCACTGCAGGTGGTGGGTGGTGTACTTATGTAAGCCGCGGTCTGGAACATGGTTGGTAGTTGTAGGTTCTCGCCCCCTCCCCCCTTCCCCAGCGCCCCTGAAGAGCGCTATAATGCACTGTAAGGTTCCCTGACTTTTGGAAACTCTCAGCGGTGCAGCGTGTTAAGGTAAGGTAAGGTAGGTAGGTAGGTGACGGGACCCGACGAAAGCAGTGACGTGCCGCGGGCGGGTTTTGGACTTTTTTTTGACGCAGCAGGGGTACGCGACTGAGTATGCCAGCCACCAAACAGGGGGGCGATGAAGCGGGCCGCGATTTTGGGGCGGTTCTCTTTACAGTAGGGTGTCAAAAGTTCGTGTACACCCTCCCAGTGCGTCACCTATAGCCCACTAACTACGTCTCTTTACTACTATAAATATCTTTCTAACTTAGGTATAAATAATATGATTTAAAATTTTAATAATATATTTTAGTATAGAAAGTATATAAAACTAATTTTTATATATTTTAAAATACGTTATATTAGTACTTTATACTATAATATAAAAGTAGAATATAGAATAAAAAAGAATTTACTAAGAAGTACAGTACTATTCGCACTTAAAAGGCCCTATAATCCACTATAATACAAATCTCTTAAAACCTATTTTTAAAAAGATTTATTTAACGCTTTTATAATTAAGAAAAAATATGGTACAACTTAGATATATACCAATATAATAGCTAATTAGTTATATAGTAATTTTTAATTCCTTTTCCTTATTATATTTAAATTTTTATTCGCTATTGAAAAGTAGTACTTTTGCGGGATACTGTGCGCTGCACACGAACCTTTGACACCCCACTGTACTCTCTTTCTTGTTTCTTTTTTTCTTTTTGCCAGGTTTGCTTTCTATTTTATAGTGATGTTCATGCGGTGAAGAAGCCGGAAAAGTGCGCTACTAAACGCGGGTACGCGGTCCCTGAGACGCTACCATTCTACCTACATATTCCTTCTCAGACAAACGGTCAGAGGTGCACCGCACCACCCTTTTACGCGTCTTTGTCTGTGTGTGTGACGCTGGATCATTATCATACCTTGAGGTAGTCCATGGAATACCTGACCAACACACATTAGACAGCTCCCTTTCCCCTTTCCCCCCCCCTTGGTTGTGAGAAATTTCATCTCTTCTCCCTAAAGTTCTCAAAGGGGAACCAAGGTTTTTGTAACGTTGAGTACCGGAACATCAGACGTCAAAAATGTCAAACGTCAACAAACAGTTTTGTTGCTGTTGTTTGTTTTGTTTAGAAAATAAAACGCACGGGCAGAGGGCGGGAAGGGAAGCACCTCAGAGGCTCGGAGGCTTACGTTCAGTGGGTTAGGTACCGCATTCTTGTGTTGCTACAGCTGCACGCGGGCGGGAGCCGTTCGTTCTTCATTCGTTCCAGGTCGGGTTGGGTTTAGGCTCAGAGGTCAGAGGTACAGTACCTTGACACTGGACGTGGACGGGCTCTCTTGGGCGTGCCTCTTCCCCCCCCCCCCCCCCCCCCCCCCCCCCCCCCCCCCCCCCGGCCCCCCCCCCCCCCCCCCCACCTCCCCCCCCCCCACCCACCCCCCCCCCCACCCCTCCGTGAGTGTTCTTTTTATCAGTTGTGCTATGTGTGGGGAGACTGAGACTCCACCTTTACCCCCTCCCCCCCCCCCCCCCCCCCCGAATCCCCATCACCCCCAGCACTGCACGTCGCCCAGCTCCATCCACGGCACGCCACGAAACACGCTCCGAGAAGTTCGCTTGAGAGCTTTTTTGTAAATTGGCGATTTACGTGGGAATAGCAACTTCCCTCTTCCTTTTCCTCTCTCTCTTTCTCTCTCTCTCACTCTCTACTCCGTATCCCTCTTCCTCTCTCTCTCCGCGTGTACCTTTACTGGGTATTACCTTGGGGCTTTTCAGCTAAGGTGCTTTACTCTGCCTCTTTCCAACCCTCCTCCACACCAACACGCTCTCTCCCATCCCGTCAAACTACTCCGTGACCTACCCACCTAACCTCCAATCAACCACTCCGAGGATCCAGACCCCCAACTACGTTCTCTTCCCTCCCTTTCCTCCAAACTTTCAACGGTGGTGCAGGAAAGAGGAAAAAGGAAACATCAGGTATACACATCACACGGCCTTTACCAATCCATCAACACAAACACAGTACGCTGCACGTACACAGCAGCAACACCAAAAAGAAAAAGAAAAAGTCATGGACCCCTCATCGCCAGCAAAGAGACGCGCCCTCGCGCCCCTGGACGCGAACGTGAACGCGATATCGTCGCCCACGAAGCTGCACAAACACTCCAAGCTGGGGGCGGCGCCCCAATCGCCGCGTAAGAGCAACAGCAGCGGCAGCCCCGTCAAGTCTCTCAATCTCAAGAGGTCCTTTGCCGCCGCCGCCGTCGACATCTTTGACGAGAACGCACTTGTTCCCAAGAAGAAGCAATGTCAGGAGCCCGCCTCTGCTCTTGCCGCTGCTTCTAATGCTACTACTACTACTACCACCACCGCTGCACCCGTAGCTGTAGCTGCACCTGCGCGAGAAGTTGCACTGGCACCTGAAGCTACATCACCAGTTCCTGCTATTCCATCTGCATCCGCGGCCGCATCGACTCCCGCGCCGGCGCCCGCACAGACGGAGATGGAGATGGACGTTGATCCCGATGCCACGGAGGTGAGAAGATAATCCAAAAAGAAGTCAATTGACAACGTACATTGGGAATTGGTGTACTGATACGCGTGCCATTGACAGACCCAGAGCGAACAATCAGAAGAGCAGAACCAGCAAAGCGAACAACAACTAGAACCCGAGGTGGTGCAGGGCGAGAACGAACTGCTGCCAGAACAACAGCAGAAAGGGTCGCGGCACGAGACACCGCGAACCCGCTCCGCGTCCCCCGCAGACACGTCGGCCGTGTTCGACACCTCGGCCATGGACACGTCCCAAAACACCACCATCCTCACCGAGCCAGACGCAGAGCAGGCTAGGACCCTGCCGCCGCCGAGGCCGAGGAGGTTATTGACCCGCGAGGAGGCGCGACAGGTACGACTTTTCTTATTCCAATTCTAATCCTTCGTTATGCCGGATCATTCTCTTGGATCGACATTTGGAAAAACAAGATCGCTGACTTTGATGGTTTATAGAAAGCTCGAATCCTTCGACTGAAACTCGGACTCGCGAATTACAAGCTCCAGACAGGGCAGGAGAGCGTGCCGCTTGACAAGCTGGAGGTGAAGCCGCGACCGGGGCAGCAACCGCAGGAGACGAAGATGCAAACGCAGACGCAGACGGCGGAGAGGGCTCTGCCGAGGGTCATGGTGCAGCCGCCGTCAAGCCGTGATGGCCCTCCCGAGAAGGACGCCGAGGAGGAGGTTGTCGAGGAGACTGAGACGGACGAGCCCGCGCAATCGCAGGAGTCCGCCGAGGCCGAAGTGGCGACGACACAGGCACCACAAGTGCAGGAAGAGAAGGAATCTCGGAACGTGGTCAGCGTCCTGCCGCGTCTCGATATGGATAACCTCAAAGCTGGCAACGACGAAGACGAGCCGACGAGTGCTGTTTCGGGTGGTATCGTGAGCAGTCTGCTCAGTTTGGCGAGGGGTTCGTCATCCTCCGTTTCTACTTCGTCATGACGCGCCGTTGGTGGGGTGGATGGATATATCTTGGGTTTTGGGGGCTCGTGAAAAAAAGGCGTTTTATGTTGGGGAGACTTGCATTGCATCGTTTCGGTTCGGCTCATCGTCGACCGCGTCCCGCGTCGGAACTTTTTTTCTTTCTTTATTCTTGCATGATGTTTCGTCGCAGCAAACGGGTTGATGATAGTACCGCGCCATTATCATGGCTCAGAACAGGGAGATGAGGGGAGTGGAGGGGAATACTTTGGTATGTCTGCATGAAGTTGGGATTGGGATATATCCCCATTGTCAGATCGGGTCCTCTCGAGCATGGAAGAGGGAGAGCTTGATTTATTGTCAGAGAGATGTAATTCCTGGGCAAAACTTGTACGCATCTCATGATGGAAGGATGGTCACACTTTTTTTTTTTTTTTTTGCAACCCCAAGCTGAGTTGTCAGCTTAGCTTCATGGAAGAAGCTGCACAATCTACAGCACGAGGAAACGGCGTTGTGGGCGCTATTATTGCCTTTGTTGGAAGCTAGAGCTTGAGCTTGAGCTGAAATGCCGGCGAAGCCAAAAACAATTTTTTTTTCTTGCCTGCATGAACGAAGAAGTTGCGTCGTTGATTCGCTATTGATATACCTAATGAAAAAAGTGACCTAAGGTTTGGATTTGGCTGTGATGAGGTTCGTTGATGTTGGATGTGACTTTCTGGGATGATGATGTTATGAATTGTCTTTCGGCCGGTTCGGGGTTGGGTGGTGGATTGGTTCTCGGAGCGGGACGGTGCGGGGGAGGCGGAAGTGAGGGGGAGCGGGGCTTGCTGGAGGTTTGGTGGGTCCGCGTTCGGCGCGGGTACGGGGTTCGAGTGGGGTCGTCCCAGTTTCTCGGGGATCGGCGCTTGGCTCGGCGCGGTCGACGAGGTGGTTGGTAGTGAGGTTCACAAGGATGAACAGGCGATTCAAGGCAATGGGATAGATGGTGTTCCAGCGGTTGACGACTGTTGTTGTGTTTTGCGAGCGGGTAGTATCTCGAGGTACGTAGGGGCATGTTGGTTGTATGAAGAGTTTAGATGTTCCGGGTAGCTAGGGAAGCTGCCCTGGGGTTCTGCGGCTCGGATGCCGCGGACGGCGGTGTCGCTTGGGGTGGTGAGGCCATGGTGGCCCATGTTGCTCTGGTGAGCGGTGTCTCGTTGCCAGATCTCGAACTGCTTGATGTAGGCATAGTGTTGTTGTGTGCGGGACAACGTGGAATGATTTCGCGACCACGCCGGCGCTCTTTTTCACTTGTTGATGGAAATAAGACACATTTACGTAGTCCCGTCGGTCAGAAGACAGTGCGTAGTCTTTTATCCTTGGCTTGGCCGAGAGTGAGTGGAGGTCGGCATCTGATTGCAGGTATAAAAGAAGTAGGATCATCTCGCGTTTTGCAGAACTCGGCAACTTTGGCTGCCATCTTCCGCTGTTTAAATCAGTAGAGAGTGATCCTTTGTGTAGTAGACCCAAGTCCTCACGACATATCTATTGCGTCGAACACTGGGGGGTTCCCAGAAATCGAGATCCTTACCAGCTGTCATCTTTCCGCGGTTCCCGTCTGTTGCGTATTCTATAAGAACAATTACCCATGTAATGGAGCTTTGAGATGGCGGCGGTGGCGCTGTCTGCTGTGTTTTTTTTTGGATGTAGTGCTTTCCATATCCCCTTTACATTGTTCACGATAAGGACCAAGACGAAGGTCGCCGGGGCGCCAAATATAGCAATCGACTACATCGTCTTCACCTCGCAGGTAACATGTGTGCTCAGTCATCAGATTCCTAAAGGTTCATGGGACATTTTAAAGAACGGGACCGACCATACTACGAATATGAGGGGGGGGGGGGGCGCGCGGTTTCGTGTGAACATGGCCAGCCAGTGAAGTACGGGCCTATAGCACAAGCATGTGTCTAGGGATACCTCTTACTGACGGCTTGCGACGGTTTCAGACGTGCGCGCACGACATTGAATGGGCCATTCCCTATCGTACCATTTTATCGAGAGCCATCGCGCTTTCCGGACGGCAGAAGCATGGAAGTATGTATCAGTGGGATCCAAGCAAGTGGCACCATCTTGTTGACACGGGTATTCGTCGCCAGAATCTTGGCCGATAAAGTCAGTGGGATGTCAGACTATTGTTGGAAATAAGTTTTGAGGTATCCTTCGCAACAACTAGGTATCCGGATCCAGGGCTGTTTACCCTGGCGTCGGGGTGGAGTTCTCCGCTTGCAAGCCACCTGTTCCATATTCCGCTCCGGGGGAGACCCCGAGAGACGGAGTGCAGGGCGATCAAATCCCTGTCCGAAATCTCCTGCCGTCTTCTTTGAATATTCTGGAGACGAGTGCTCCACGAAGGGGGATTGTGGTCAACGGAGAGGAACGTGTTTGAAGCGTTGTCAGCGGATAGTCTGTATTCTGGGCTCGGGACGGAAGACTTTCCTCTCAGCTTCTACGACCTGTCGATATTTCTCTGTCAAGACTCGTTTTTCACGGAGTATTGTGGTTGGATTGTCCGTTTCGATGCTTGTCCGATATCTCATGTGAGGCGTACGTATATAAATGGCCAGAACTATGGCTCTAGATAGCTCGAGGCAGCCAACTGAAGATGAACGAGGAGGATGGGACAGTTACAAAATACGTTTTCTAGCTTGGTTTGACGAGTACATAAGTAGTTGAGACCGTGCAAAGTAGAGCACTCGATGTGGAGATATCCTACTTATCCTTCTCAAGGCCCAGACTGTGCCGGGCTCCTCAGCGAACTAGCAACTCAGTATCAGGCAGGCTATAAGACGGCAGTCGCTTTGGGATCTTCCAAAAAATAGGGACATGGGTAGAAGTGTCGAATCGGGTGTCAGTCCTAATCTGTGTACCATTGATAGTGTAGTCGAACGTAGCGTGACATACGAAAGGAGGGTATGAGAGTGAGAGAAGGTTTAGCTTGAGAGCATACTAATCTCGCTTTTAAGCAGTCACTCTCTAACATACATATATAAAAGAATAAGCTAGGAGATGTGACGGAGGGTGTGGTTAGATTAATCTCTTTCTTGTTGTGGAAAGCAGTAATATTAGTAACAGGTATTCGTCGTGCTTTAAGGCACGATTTGTCTACCACTGATGCAAATTCAACACCTATGGCTCGCTAAGATCCTACTGAAGTATTAAGAGCATCGTAAGGTGTCAATAGAGCTAGAGATGCCCCTCAAACGACACGAGAGAAAAGAACTTTCCAAAGCCGGTTTAGGCATAGTAGGCCAAAAGGGGGGTTTTCGCCGGTTACATCCGGTTGCTCAACATGAGCACCAGAGCCTCAATGAAGTCATAGATAAATATTCAGTCGGCCATTAATATTATTTCTTTGCAGCGGGTTTTTCGTTATAGAGCGTGGATAGCTACCGTGAATAGCGTCGCCGACAAGATGTGTGCAGCGGGGTCTCTTAGTTTAGCGAGCATTTGAAAGCTTACTTGTGAAAATTTGAGCTTCGTCGATAATGGGAGAGTAGCAATCATGATATAGTAAAGAGTTCTACTCGACGACACAAAAAAAAAACAGCTGCGGATAGAAGAACCCTGGTGCCCTTTCTGGAATGACAGGGATGTAACAGCGCCGACCCAAGGAAGTCAAGACACTCGACCCTGGATATTTACTTCCTACAACATAGATCTCAGGTAATGTTCGCTCAAGATAAAAGGATGAGCCCGAAGAGCGAGTACTCCTTGGATGTTGCTCATCCAGCAGTCATAGCTGAAATCGCGCGCTCCCGGCAAAAGGTCGATTGAATGTTCCGTCAGCTGCATGCGTTTGTTTTCTATCAGGATCTTTACGAAACAATGGCTATGTGAAAAAATAGTCCTTTAACCATGTTTTTCTCTCCTCCGTATTAGCCATTATTCCGATGGTTAGGTCGGACGTTTCAAGCTCGACGTCTTGCTCTGACGCTGGAGAGTATCGCAGAAAAGTTACGGAAAATCGACTTTCCAGGGCCGGCCAGACTATCAACTATCGATTCCCATTAGCAATTCCTTTCTGACCTTTAATCCTCTTGGAATATGCAGGCCACGAGGGAATTGTAGGACGGGGGCTCCTATCCTGCCTGAACATGATTGATGGGAATAAGATGCCATCATCTGTAGGGCCTTCAACGACGCCGGCTCTGGTACTGAAGACCGCACAGCCGGTGACACAGGCGACCCCGATGCAAGAATCCGATACGGCTTTATGGTAAGTAAAAGACCGCAGCGATGGGCAGCGAGAACCAGCTGCTCTTGAACAGGGACAGTAAACCGGCCCGACGACACGAACTAGGAGAAGGCGCTTGGCCGTTGACATTGTACTGTTTCGTAAGCTTGCTGACGACTACGTTACTGCACAAGGCGTTTTCAATGCAGAGGGCTGGTTCATATGCTGGTCTTATTGGATATGATTCAATGTTCTTTAGTGTCGTTTATCGCCGTGTCTATGTGTTCATGTCATACTGATACCGCTTCTAATGCCGTAGGAAACTCAAAACCAACCAAGGTGAGAGCAACAGGGCTGCGCTTCGATGTCCGCTCATTTACAAGGAAGAAGAACGCAAAGAGAAAATACACTGCTAAATCGAGTCCCGCTCTGCAGAATGGTATCTGAAATCACTTGCGCTCCACCTCCGCCGCGGCACTCTCGGTGCCGCTCTCTACACTCGACTCCTTTCTCACACCGTTCGAAGCCTTAGGCTTGCCAAACAGAAGCCCAGGGTGTCCAAGGCATAACGCAAAGACTGCACAAATGATGAGGCTAAAACAAAGACGTGTCAGCATGGAAAGTCCACCATATGCCAACGTCGATGGCAGGGGAAGACGGAAAGAACGACTTACACTCCCTCCAACCCAATGAACAACCCCTCATTCGTAATCTTATCCGAATCTGAATACCCTTCACTCAGCTCGTCGACACGGTACGCGCACCGCGCGAGGATGAGCACGACCGCCAGCGCCAGGAACCCGAAAAACGTCTTTTCGCGACGCGTCAGCGCCCGCGCGACGTCGGACCGCGTGTACCGGATCATGTAATCGGCAAACAGCGAACAAAAGGCGACGAGGACGATGACCTGGATGACGAGGCCGGCCATGGCGAGGTCGACGCCCACGTCGGAGCTGCCCGAGGAGGTGGTGCTCAGGGCGCCGCCGGCGGCCTGGAGGACGAGGCAGAAGACGTCAAAGGAGATGAAGAGCCAGTAGATGTACTTTGTGGGGATGCGGGAGAGCTCTGGGGCGAAGGATTCGATGCTGTTTGTGAGACAAGGACGAGTCAGTTTCTGGGTTGTGTTTTCATCTGAGTTTGAGTGAAATGTGATGCTATATCGGGACGGGCCCCCTGCTATGTTTTGCTTTTCGGCCGAGAGAGAGAGAGAGAGAGAGAGAGAGAGAGAGTACTCAGATGTGCATGATCTTAGATTGCGACGTGCTGTGTGAGGAGGTAAGGGGTTTTCGACGACGAGACAGCTGTCAATAAGCCCTCACGGGATGGGAAGTGAAAAGGGAAAAGAAAGTCCAGAAAAGAAAAAGCAATGAGAGCGAAACCTGAACGGGAGCCCCAAGAACAGAGAATAACAAAAACACAACTTACGCCTTTGAAATGGTAACATATATGGCGGCGGTGTAGTACACAGGCCCGCTGGTGATGAAGACGATCTGGAGCATGAAGGCGATAAACTCGAACGGGTTCTTGTACATGATGATGCGGCCCACATAGCCGACAATCTCGCTGAGGCAGCCGGCTAGCATGAAGGCCATGAACCACCACTGGCGCCACTTGATGCCGAGGAAGACGTGGACGGCGCCGGCGAGGGCGAAGAGGGCGAGGAAGAGGATGTTGACGGCCAGGTTGGGGCGGTACTTGTACAGGCTGTACTCGAGAGGGCAGATGTCGAGGGTGCAGTTTGACTTGGGCCCGAAGGTTACGATGTAGGGCGGGAGAGGGGGCGGGGGGCCGGCCATTGTTGTTGATGGTGAGGTTTCTTTTCGTTTTCGGTGATTGGAACTTCTTCTGCTAGGGAGGCGACGGAAGAAATAGAGAAGAAGAGGTGCGTGTGAGGAAAAGTCGAGGTGGTTGTCAAGCTCCTTATCTTGTCTCGTCGTGTTTACGTGCCAGAGGAGTTAA